GTCTAAAAATAAAAGAATAAGTCCATCAATCCCGATTTACGTCATATTCTAAAATACCAAATCTGTTTTTTTTATTTAAAAAAATAAAAAAGTTATAGGGATGAGCCACTATCGAAAAACACCCAGTAGAGCAAAAACCCATTTATTTATTAATCTAAACATCTAACCAATTTCGTAATTTATCTACAATTATTTTAGGTGATATACATATATAAAAAGATTTTATCTACGATCAGCCTACGGTAAATACATTTGCCAGTTTCATTGTAATTAATTATGTAGAAAATTGTCGGGACGAAGTGGTAGCAAAACCTTATTTGTCGACACCGTGCCTTATGAATAATAAATAGACAAACGCTAAACGAAGGCGATCGATTATATTATTTTAGTTGCGATCAACACTTTCGATATTATTTAAATTAATTAGAAGATATTAATTAACAGTAACAACGTTGTAATATGTGTCTTAAGAAATTAACATCTTATATTAGTGGTTAATATCTAGAATTAATTATAAAAGATTCAGAAATGAACGGATTCAAAAATTATATTTTGAAATTTTTAATGAAATTCTGGCAGTGAGTTCTACTCTTCAGTCCCAATAAATATCGAACTGTTCTCTTTTAAAGTTTGAAAATACGATCAAATTTTGTTGCGCAGCAAGTACCCCAGAATGGAAGGGCATGACGAAGATGTGACTCAAAAAGGGCATAATAGGCTATTCTAGAGGTTGATAAGTTAAGAACTGGACTCCTTAGAAACTGATCTTAGCGCAAAACAGGCAGCGCTTAGTTTCTTTGATAAAGTATCGATGTGCAAGTCCCATTTTAACGAGTTGTCTGCAACAAGTCCTAAGAATTTCACATATTGAGTCCACGACGTCAATAGTGGTGTTATTAAGTACAAAAGGTTATATAGTAATTTTATTTGACAAAACTTTAGTTTTTGATAGGTTGAGGCATAGGAGATTAGAATCACACCAAGATTTAATTGTGTCACGTAAGTCACTGGATATAGTATTATAGTACATAATATAGTGCCGTAACATCTGGGCCGCTCCAAGTGAAACTAGTATCGTCCGCAAAGAGGAAGATTTTACCGCTAATGTCTAGATTTGCAATGTCGTTGATAAATACCAGAAACAAAATAGGACCAAGTACTCCATTAATGGAACAGCATTTGTTTACAATCATACATACTATAACACTTTTATACAGATTAAAAAGAGATGCATAAATACAGGGTAATATGTCAGATGGCTTAAATAAATGCAATAAAAATGCAATAATGCAATTAAATGCTTATCTGGGTTTTCTTTCTTGTAAATTTAATCTACTGCCTATGTTGCTATACAGGGTGGTCCATCGAAAACGTTCCGCAAGGCATAACGGCCAGGGTAATTTTTTTATTCAGAAAATTCAAAAACACGTCAATTTTGTATGTGAGGGGGGCGACTTTTGCCCCAAAAATGATTGCAAAATCTTCAACCCTCTAAGCGGGGGTGTCATCCCCCAATTTTTTTCAAATGGGAAGGGGGGTCAAGTGGTACCGCAATGGAAAGGGCTTTCTATTCTCTATACTTTCCGGCTTCATTTTTGAAAATCTGTCGAGTCATTGAGAAAATATGAAGGATTGAAATTTGAAAAGTTTATTTACACATTTATCAGAGTAAATGATAAGGATAAATTCCTTCGACCAATTTGCTGTTTTTCCTTATTATTTCTAGATGTTTACGCATTTTTTCACTTGCCACAAGGTTGAACGATCAGGTGCGATAGTTGCTAGATAGCTGTTCTGTGACTTATGCGTTGAAGTTCTTCTCAATATCGTTAAAATTTTTAACAATTATGGTGTACTAACTTACAGGAAAAGTGGAAATAATCGAACTTTATTTTAAAAATATTGAATGTGGCAATCGGGTTGCGCAGATATTCAATGAACACCATCCTGACAAACACCATTATGGCAAAATTGTTCGCGAGTTAGTAGCAACATTTTGCGAAACTGGTTCCGTTGTGAATAAAAAGAGGCAGGGGGAAAATCCTGTAGTAAATGAAGCTATGGAGGTATTCGTATTGGGCCAAGTTGCCATGCGGTATTGGGCTGAGGACAACCCCAGGGTTTTTTACGAGGTGCATGCACAAAACCCTCAGAAATTGGACGTGTGGGCTGGTATTTTTGGAAATTCTGTTGTGGGTCAGTTTAACGATATTGAGAAGAACTTCAACGCACAAAAGTCACAGAACAGCTATCTAGCAACTATAGCACCTGATCGTTCAACCTTGTGGCAAATGAAAAAATCCGTAAACATCTAGAAATAATAAGAAAAAACAGCAAATTGGTCGAAGGAATTTATCCTTATCATTCACTCTGAAAAATGTTTAAATAAACTTTTCAAATTTCAATCCTTCATATTTTCTCAATGACTCGACCGTCTAATATTGATACTAATGTGATACTAACAATTAATAACAAAATTGTTTAATAGGTGCTTAAAGAGAAACTAAATAAAATAAACTGACTTGGTTTTATACGAGATCTCATAACTTTTTATAGTGGAAGAATTGTGTTACAAGGCTTGACATTTTTTTACATTCTATGTTGTTTCTGGGATTCATATTTCGTATTTACAAATTGTTTTCAAAATATTAAATTATTTATAATTAACTAGCGCGTACCAGCGACTTCGTTCGCGTCGAATTAAGGTTGTCGCCCACTAGACCGCGGCGCGACGCGGCGCGGCGCCATGTGGAAATTTCTTTTGTCTGCTTGCCATGTATTTAAATGGACCAACGCACATTAGAGCGCGCAGCGCAGAAGCGCGCCGCGGGATTTCCGTCAAGAAGTCGGAATACTTCTCTAGCAACTTTTTTCCGTCTCCCGCGTTTCGGCGCGTTGCAGTGTGCGTACTCACAAGGGAAATAATTTTGCATTCGAGTCTTTTCAGTTGGCTTTTTGACTAGGAACTAGTGATATGTATCAATGGCAGAATTGTATTTTTAAAGGTAAATTAGGCAAATCGATTTTCATAAAGGAATATGATATTTTTTTTAGTCTTCCCTCACTAGAGACAGATGGACGAAATGCCTTTCTATCAAAGATTTAATATAATTGAGGGGTGTAGAGGCAAAACTGGCAATCTCCACTTTTTAACAAAAGTGACAATCTCCAATTTTTAAATTCTAATTACCTAAATATATAAAAAAGATCAGGGTTTTTTTGACCACATAACTAATATACACATCAGAATAAATAAGAATTATCAAAAATATTAGTAATTTGTCTCTTCTGAAAAAATATGATGAGTAGATATACCCGGTGTTTTTTCTTCTAAAACCCTCAATTGAGGAGTGCGTAAAATGTTTCCTTTATATTTTGTAATACTGAAAAAAATGATTTTGTCTTTTATTAAATCTGGAAAAAGATGGTAAAATTCTCCAAACTTCTTTCTTTTTTTGTTAATCGTATGAGTCCAAACTTTTCCTCACCCCCTCTTCCTCTTCCTCTGTTAGAAGAGCACAAAAAATACGCTTTCGTCCGTACTTGAACTCATTGCTTTAAAAACTAAACTACAGTAAGTAAAAAACACTTCGACTATAACTAAATAGCGTTGCCGCGTTTCAAAAGCGCGCTATAGTGGGCGCAGTCCCTTCGCAGCCGGAAAAAATTCTCTTCCCAGCGCCGCGCCGCGCAGCGGTCTAGTGGGCGACAACCTTTAATCATTTGTAATGGTGATGATAAAGCAAAGCAAGAATTGCCATTAACATACAAATTGGATAAAATTTTCTCACATTTATGTCAGCATGAGAAAAAACAATATGGCGATATTATTATATAACTTGGTAATATTTGAGGGGTAGTTTCATCTCGTTGGAATTTGACTTTCGAAAAATCCGTTTGTCAAAAATAAGCTTTTTGCGTCAAGCAGTTTAAGCAGAATCGTGATTAAGTAATTACCCAACTTTTTGCAACACCCAGTATGATTTTTTAAAAAATTTCAAAATATGTAAAAAAAAAATAAATTATGCTTGTCCAAGCGTTTTCCCGAAAGACTAACCATTTTTTAAATAACAAATACCTCTACACCCCACAGTCAATCCGTTTGCCAAAAATCAGCTTAAAACGTCAAGCAGTTTAAGCAGAATCGTGATTACTCAATGGTCATATTTTATGAAACACCCTGTATAAATTTATAAAAAATCTTAAAATATGTAAAACAACAAAATAAAATATACGTGTTTAAGAGTTTTTCCGAAAAACTCACCGGTTTTTAAATAAAAAATATTTTAATATTTGGGGGATAGTTTCACTCCCTTAGAATTCGAGTTTCGAAAAATCCCTTCTTATCGAACCTCTACACCCTAAAGTCAATCCGTTTTCCAAAAATCAGCTTTTTACGTCAAGCGCTTTAAGCAGGATCGTGATTAATCAATGACCAGATTTTTCTTTGGTTTCACCCTCTTGGAACTGGAATTTCGAAAAATCCCTTCTTATCGAACCTCTAAACTCTAGAATCAACCTGTATGCCAAAATTGTGCTTCTTACGTTGAGTAGTTTGAACAGGACCGTGATTAATCAGTATGTCAGTCACTTAAGGATTTTATATATTAGTATAGATTGTTTTTAAAAAATTGAATTTGAAGGTGGTATGTTTGTTATTCCGGATCGGATTGTTATAATTTAGTATTTCTTTATCTTTCATAACAGCAAAGGAATTCTTAGAAGGTATTAAAAATGAAAAATTTGGTTCATTTTAAGGAGTTCCTTAAAAAAAGTTTCAAATGATTTTTTCTCTAAAAAAATGGGAAAAACTTATCCAACATTTTTAAAATTTACATGGGATTGACTATGTTCAGGTTGGCGATGCAACAGGCTGTACTAATAACCGCAAAAATCAAACTTTTGATTTAGAATTATCAATAAATAACAATCATACATTACATTCTTGCTCAAATATTTTATTATAAATAAATAAATTAATTATCTATACGTTAAGTTGTTCAGTAGTGTGGAGCAGCTACAACTTTCTTGTATACAATTGGAGCAGGGGTTGGTTCTCCTTGTTTCTCAACTACAGCATTGAAACCGTGTCCATCGTCAGAGTATTTGACAATTCTGACAGTACCGTCAGCTTCGTGAAGGGAGTACTGTCCAGAAACGTGGTGTCCATCGCTTTCTTCTTCTTGGGAGTGGTAGTCACCAGTGTGGGCGTCTTGTACAGCGTAGGCGTATTTGTATGGAATGATCTCATATTCTTCTTCGTGGTAGGCTGGAGCAGCGACATATTTAGCTACTGGAGCGGCTACTTTGGCAACTACGGGAAGAGCTACTTTGGTAAGAGCAGGAGCAGCTGAATAAACTGAAGCGACGGGAGCAGCAGAGTAAACTGGAGCAGCAGAATAAACTGGAGCAACGGGGGCAGAGTATTTGGTGACTACTGGAAGAGCTACTTTAGCTACAGATGGTACAGCTACTTTAGCGAAAGCTGGGGCAGCATATGCAGGAGCGGCAGCAGATTGGATATGACTGACAGAGTTGTGGTTGTCGTTGAATTTGACGAATGATGTGGCTTGGTAGTCAGCTGGGATGGCGCTGACGGTAGCCAAAACGGCAGCAATAGCAAAGAACTGAAATGGAAATTATTTTGTTTAAGTAAACAAAAAGAATATATCAATATAATGACATAGAATGAAATATTTAGTACTAGCACAAAGAAAAGCCTAATAATTAATTTATAAAACAATAAACTTTTCATTTTCAACCACAATTTCTGTTGACGAAAGATAATCAAAAGCCAAAATGATTACTCGTTAATTTTGACGCATAACTAGTGGGAAAAGTTAAAACTTTGTTAACTAACTGAAAATTACTACCACTAGTTTTGACGTTCTGAATTCTTACATTGGAATTAGAGAAACCAACTTTACAAACACTAAAAATGAAACCACTAATTTCAAAGTTCTATATTTATAATTTCAATTCCTATATTTAAAGTCATTTACTACCTTCAATAGGTAAGTCTGCAGATATCGCACTAAATATCTCTGAAAACCTTGTACAGGGTGTCCCATTTTAGTTGAATAATCATACGGTATCTCCGTTATTCGTGAAGATAGAAGGTTGCGGTTTGCACAAGCCTGTGCCACTTTTTTGTCAAACGGAAGATGTCGTAAATAAAATGTTCATAGCAATCTTCGTTTCTGAGCTACAAGGTCTTTTTGAAAATTTTGCAATTTGGGACACCCCCTGTCTCGCTGTTATTGTTAAAGGTATAGAAATGGTGAAAACTGTTTATTGTAGAACTTTTTACGTAGAATACAGTGGCGTAGTCTGTTATTCTACTAAAAGAATATTTTTAAAGATATGAACTAAAGTTATGTTTTCTTAAATGAAACACCCTGTATATTAATAAATTATATAATCTGGCTTGTCATAAGCTTCTCAAAAATATAAAAAATATATATTAAAAGGTCATATTTATTAGTAGGGCATGATTGATAATATAAGAAACTAAAGAATTATTAAAAGTAGACTGTAAATATTGAAAATAAATATATATATATATATATATATATATATATATATATATATATATATATATATATATATATATATATATATATATATATATATATATATATATATATATATATTTGAGAAGCGCATAGCAAGGCGGATCATATGATTTATAAATATACAGGGTGTTCTATTTGAAAAAAACAAACAAAAAAAATCAAACTTTAGTTCATATTTTCAAAAATATTTTTTTTGTAGAAAAACAAACTACGCCACTGTATTCTACGTAAAAAGTTCTGCAAGAATCCAGTTTTTACCTTCTCGATTTCATCCATAATATCGAAGATACGGAGCCTGTCCCAAATTGCAAAATTTTCGAAAAGACCCTGTAGCTCAGAAACAGGTTATGAGAATCAGGTTATGAGAATTTTGATTACAGCAACTTTCGTTTGACAAAAAAGTGGTACAGGTTTGTGCAAACCGCACCCTTCTAGCTTTACTAATAACGGAGATACCGTATGATTTCAATTAAAATGGGACACCCTGTACATAATATATTAAACATAATAATAGGTATAATATTACTTACTTTGTACATGTTTAAGAGATGTGTTAGATGTGTTTGAATCAGAGTCGACTACAAGAGTGATTTATTCAAAAAATGGCGTGCTTTTATATTAGAATAAAACAACCCTAGACAATTCTACGTTCACTAGGTCACGACCTACTGTTATCTTGTAATCAATATAGATTAATTTATTCTTCAGCCATATACCCAAAACTATTAGTTATTTAATCATTAAATTATTTAGATAGATATATTGACCTCTAAAAGAATGCGATCTAATTTCATTTCACTTGCAAGTAACAAGGTTATGTGATCATTTTTGCGGTTAGACGGTATTCCCTCCAAAATTAGAATTTTGGAAATTAGAATTGGAAATGTAAATTAAAAAAGAAACTCTTAGAAGCTTTATATTCAGTAAGATAATTGGTATAATGTCATGAAAATAAAGAATCATATATTTTTTTAGACACAGGTTTGAATCAAAACGTCAATTAAAACGTTCATACAAAATAATGATTACTTCCGCTTTTCTCAAACTAAATTTAAGCCAGCCAAGACTTTTAAATACACATAATGTATATTTTTATAAATTTGCATTTTGCGTAGAACTTAAAAAAACCTACCTTAAAAAAGTAGATATGTATTATATTCAAGACTGTGCCTACCAGAGGCGCAAAGCTCAAAAGGTGCCAGATCAAATTGTTTAGCATCATTATACCGAGTGCGTCTCAAAAGTGGCTCAACCTCTATAACTTTTTTATTTTTTTAGATAAAAAAACAAGATTTGGTATGTTAGTATATGACATAAATTAGCATTGATTGAAGTATTCAATTGTTTTCAGTCACTTCTTATTTCACCGGAAATAACTATAACTTTTGATTTTTAAATGGCACCCTCTGTATATTTTTACTTTATTCGATAGAACATGACACTCTGAATAAAATGACATATCATATATGTCCACTTCTGATATTTTCGCTTAAAAAATCGCATTTTAAATTTCAATCTAGAGTCTAGAGGACCATGGCTGTGTTAAAAACATTAATTTTTAATCAAGGAGCCTTGGAAAAATAGATTTGATCGTCTAATGTTTTTCATGTTTTGTCTTGGCCGGTTAAAAGATACACAAATCGTATTTTTAATCATATCTAATTTTTTTTTGAAATGGAACAAGGGTGGCTCATACCGAATAATTTGGTACCACATACTTGTTATTTCGAGTCAAAATGTCGTTATGAACCGCATGTTAAAATTTGAAATAAACCATAATATGCGAAAATGTCAAAAGTTGACATATAATATATCATTCTATTCATAGTGTCATTTTTTATCTAATAAAGTACAAAATGTCGAGTGTATCATTTATAAATCGAAAGTTGTAGTCGTTTCCGATGAAACAGGAAGTGATCAAAAACAATTGAATACGTTTATATACAGGGTGGTCTTAACTGTATTCTGGAAATTTCGGCAATACTAATATTATAATTCTCCATATAAAAATAAGTAAAAAAGTTCGTATAAATGTATGTCCTAAAAAGCTTAGTTTTGGAGATACAGGGTATAGAAATTTCATTTTTATTTCGATTTTCCACATAATTTCTGAAGTATCGTCAATATTTCGATGAAAATTGGTCTCTTGGTGTTTTTTTTTAATACAAAAAATTTGGTTTCGGATATGACTTCTATTTGTAGGGAACACCACCTACATGCGTTTTAACTGTTTTGAAGGCTAATAACTTTTCGTCCGTACCTGTATAAAACTACCGAGTACATTTCCGTGATTTTTTACATAAAAAATGTCTCTTCCGTTCTCAAGATATTTACAATGGAAATAGTCAATACATGTCATTATTGTGAGTTATTTGACTAAAATGATAAATTTGGGAACTTTTTTTTTAATCAATCATAAATTTTTCTTCAAAAAAATGATGATAAACAATGTTTGTAAAATTTTTGTCACAAAAGCATTTCAAATTTATGATTTCAGTCTATTAACTATTTAGTTATAATAATAATAATAATAGCTCCCGTATATAGCGTTTGACGCTTTGGGAGTAGCAAGGTACAGCTTGCTATACTAGAGTCGTTCGGTATACAAAGAAGGTAATGTGGCTAGCACTACGCTTCAACCGCCTATTATTACCTCAGGATTGTGAATCCCAAGTACTCATTTAAGGCTGAGTCGACCTAGGTACCCAAACTATTTTTATTTTAATAAAAATAGTCGGCTGACGAAATGCCGGGTGTGGGATTCGAACCCACTACCTTGAGATTGGTAGACGAGAGCATGTACCTCTACGCCACCGGGCACCAGTTAATATGTTTAATTTATATCAATAATGACAGGTATAATGATAATTTCGATTCCAAATACCTCGGGATCTATTATTCGTTGCAATTTTTACCAAGAGACCTTTTTTATGTAAAAAATGTCGTAAATGTATATTTTTTACTCAGTAGTCTTATACAGGTACGGACAAAAAGTTATTACTCTTCAAACCAGTTAAAAATATGTAGATGGCGCCCTCAACAAGTAGGAGTCATATTGACATCAAAATCAATCTCACGTCAAAAAACTCCCAAATACCAATTTTCATCCAAATATTGACGATACGTCAGAAATTATTTGGAAAAAAATGGAAATAAAAATGAAATTTCTACACCCTGTATCTCCGAAACTAAGCATTTTAGGACATACATTTATACGAACTTTTTTACTTATTTATATGCAGAATATGTTGCCGAAGTTTCCGGAATACAGTTCGGACCACCCTGTATATCATTCCTAATAAATTATCTTATACACTAACATACCAAATTTCGTTTTTTACCGCGTCTCAAAAGTGGCTCACCCCTATAACTTTTTTATTTTTATAGATAAAAAAAACAATAAGTAAACTCTCATGTAAAACCTGGTCAGTTATTTTAGATAGTGTCTATTAAAGCACTTATTTTTCGGTTTTTATGAGGATAGTGAAACTACGCCAATTAAAAGTATTACTAAATTTAGGATGTGGCCAAATCAGACGTAAATAAACAAACAATTTGTTTACATTTTGCTTGTAAATACTGGATCAAAACAAATCAATTTATATCTAATGTATGTCTAAAAATGTTTGAAAATAGTGCCTATTTATAAACTTAATGCGTAAAATGGTAAAAAATTGGGATTAATATCAATTTAAACAAAAATAAATATTGAATCTGTTATATAATTTTATTAATATATGCATAACATAAAATAATAGTAATTTTGCACGACCTTATCAGTTACATTAGATAAAAATTAGGTCACATTGTTTTGTACAATGTCAAAGATCTACACCCGCAACCAAATTCATGACATGTCTACAGGTGTGTATTTCTATTGCCTTAGATAGAAAGTCTGAAAAATAAATATATAGTGTTAAAAACAGAGGACAATATTCTAGGTGAATGTAATACAGTCCAATATATCTTTCTAAACTCATATAAAAGGTCGCAGAATTTTATTTTCATCATTCCAGTACTACAATTGGTCTCAGACACATTCCTATACATATTTAGAAAAATGAACAAAGTAAGTGAATATTAAAAATTGCTCTTTGTAACTAGGTAGAACGCCTTTATTTGTCTAACTTAAGATAGTTTATTTGAGCAATCTACAAACTAAAAATATGTTCAAACTAATCTAATAAAAATATTTTTCTCCATAGCAACTGGTAAAATTGCCTTATATCTATCAAAAATAGTAGATAAAATAGTAGTTTAACGGCAAGGGTAGATTAAATGATACTTTAACAGCGAGGATAATTTAAAAACTTTATTTCTTCTCTCACGTTTTTTAATTGCTTCCATTTTTGAAAATTTTTGTATTCCTTTTCATAAGTTATTCAGGATTTACTTAAATGGAAGTAGTTTGAATATGGCGTTTGTCGTCTCAGCCTGAATATCTGTTAATCTACTTATTTCGTTTTGAGCCATTTCTGGCTACAATTCAATCAGCAATCGACATGAAAGAGAATTAAAAAATATTGACTCAAAACTGACAGCTAAAGAGACAGCTTTATTTATTTGTCAAATTACATAGAAACCAACGCCAACCCAGCACAATATTTTTTCTACTCATAATAAATTCCTTGAAATAATAATTTCTGAATATTTTTTAAAACGTAACTCGCTATGGAAAAGAGTATTGTTTTATACACGACGATAAAATTGCATTATCGTCTCCCGAAATTAATTCACTCGCGATTTCATCGCTCGTGAGTTAATCTTTTCGATCGACAATAAAATACCATTTTATCGTCTTGTATAAAAAACAACTATTAATGTTTTGATTTGAGTTAATTTATACATTTCCAAATCTTACTCTTTTCCTTTGAAAAAGTGTTGTTACGTTGTGATCTTTCTCATTTAGATTTTGTTCTATCCGTTTTATAGAATTATTCTGAATTCTACAAATAATATTTATGTAAATTACTTTTAATATATTATTTCATACTTAAATTACTAGAGAGGCTTACAGATACCTATTAATATAATTTTTGTTTCAGTTCTTTGCCATTGCTGCCATTTTGGCTACTGTCAGTGCCATCCCAGCTGACTATCAAGCCACATCATTCGTTAAATTCAACGACAACCATAATTCTGTCAGTCACTCCCAATCTGCTTCTGCTCCTGTATATGCCGCACCAGTTCTAACTAAAGTAGCTGCACCTGCTGTGGCTAAAGTAGCAGTTCCAGCTGCACCTGTAGTGGCCAAATACTCTGTCCCTGCCGCCCCAGTTTACTCTGCCGCTCCAGTTTATTATGCTGCTCCTTCTGTTAGTAAAGTAGCTCTTCCAGTAGTTGCCAAAGTAGCTGCTCCGGTAGCTAAATATGTTGCTGCTCCAGCTTACCACGAAGAAGAATATGAAGTAATCCCATACAAATACGCATACGATGTACAAGACGCCCACACTGGTGACTACCACTCCCAAGAAGAAGTTAGTGATGGACACCATGTTTCTGGACAGTACTCTCTCCACGAAGCTGACGGTACCATCAGAATCGTAAAGTACTCTGACGATGGACACGGTTTCAATGCTGTAGTAGAGAGACAAGGAGAACCAACTCCTACACCTGTTGTTTACAAGAAAGACGTAGCTGCCTCTTACTACTAAATAATGCAATTTTAAAATGCTGTACATAATTTGTGATCTATTTATTTATTTATAATAAAATTAGCATATACACCTATATATAGTTCTTTTTTAAATTATTATAAATAAAACAAAGTCGGGTTAGATATACCATTGAATGGCTGTACAAGAATGGCTGGACCGATTGTAATGATCTCTCAATTATTGAATTCGTATCTGCCCCTATACAGGCAGTCCTCGATTTACGTCGTTTCGTGTTACGTCGTTTCGAGTTACGTCGAACAAATTTTTGTCACTATTCCTCAAAGTTACGTCCCACTGTTTCGAGTTGCGTCATTTTTTGAAAAGAACGATCCAAATTTTAAAAGAAGTTTGGACATAAACAATAAAATGTTAGCAACATACAAGCAGGGTTGACCAAAGAATATACCTAGCTAGAAAAAGAATGGACTCTGCCATACTGAAAAATGGTCCTACAGAAGTGGCGCCATCTATTGAGTAGGGCTTGTTTTAAATGGATCGAACAGCGGGCTTTTTAAATGAGCGTATTTATTGAATTTTGCTCTAAAATAATTAAATTTGATTATTTAATCTTATTTTTTACACAAATTCAACAATACTAATAACAAGTACCGTTGTGAGGTGTAAAAAATAACATTTAACAGTATAATTTTTACAATTATTAAATAAAATTAAAGCCAAACATGTGTAAATATTATTTATTATTTTAAGTTTTAAGTCAAATATTTAAACATCGTTTATTATAATAAACAAGACCAACGTAATACGCCCAAAGTTTTGTAAATGGAGTAAATATAAATAGGTACTTAAATGATGGCAAAAATAAAAGACTTACATAATATTTTTAGGGCCACAAACAAAAGGAATTGTCTAATAAAAACACATATAACAAATTATAGTTTGAAAAACGTTTTGATAATCATTTTTGATGATTGGCGTTATGACAACGACAATATTTTTGAGAATTTGACAATAGTATGACAATGGCCGTTGGAAACTATGGAAACTACAAAAAAAATCTGATTGAACGCCATCTGGCAATAACTAGTAGCAACTTCTTAACCTAAAAAATTGCACTACCACCTAGCGCCCGAGGCTGGAACTATTTTATTTGAAGTTTCCGTGGAAACGGTGGAACCGCTTTTGCTATTTCACCATATTTCACTTTCCGGCCCCTGCGGGTTGACAGATCCTCATAATGAAAAAGCGGGACAGTGTTGATCATTACTTAATTAGCAACTATTACGACTTTTGACGACACCCACAATGAAAGTTCCAACCAAAAAAATAAATATATAATTTCTAAATATGTCTACTTTACTCTCTGATATTTCTGTAGTTGCCATATTAGTATATTACTATTATATATGGATAGTTAAAAATACGTTTCTTGTATTATTATAATTTTAACTACATATACAATACACTGTTTCTCATACCTCAATTATTTAAAAATATAATAATATTAATATATACAAACGCACATCTCTTTGTTTTATCGTATTTTTATCTTACTTATTTAAGAAACGTGAAAAATTGTTGGCAGACATTTTTCTTGTCGCTAAAATGCCGGCAGACAACGCGAAAGGACACAGGCATGAAATTTTGGAAAAAAATATGGCTCACATGCATGCCGATTTGTGGAATGTCATATTTATTCATTTTAAAAGCCGTATGCAGAAGGGCAGACAAAAAGATCGTGGCTAAATCAGCGGCAGACAGTTATCAAAAGCGCGATATTACTCTAGCGCTTTCTTTATATTTTAGAAAACTTTGTACAACTGCCTGTTCACCGCAAATTTACCCACGGTATAATTTTTTAATCTACCATGCTTACGGCTTTACTCTATGGTTACGACCTTGTTACGACACTTAAAGAATGGATGCAAATACAGAAAAAAACAGGTGACTCATAAATCTTTCTAAAAATGTCTTTTTAAATTTTCAAACTTGAACGGTTATTTTGGACTCATTTGAAAAACGGTAAAGAGAAAATATATTTCTTTTATCGAGATACCAGCCCTGAACATATTTGCACTTATCCAAGACTCACCCTGTAGAGTAATATCGCGCTTTTGATAACTGTCTACAGCTGATTGAGCCACGATTTTTTCATCTGCCCTTTTGCATACGGCTTTTTAATAATAAATAAAAGCTCTTTGGTAATTATAACTCGAGTACCTTATAATATTTTTAGTGTCAAAATTTCACCCTTTCGATTGACCGCCCCCGCTTTAAGCCCCGGGATCGCGCTGGCAGACATAACTATTTCATAATGGTTACACATAAGGAGACTTCACAAGAAAAATTAGCCATGTAACGATGATAAGGTTTTTTATGTAGCCAGCTCTCTCGGTCTATTACTAACGATAAATAAAACCAATTGTAAAATAAAGAATAAGATAGATATTTAATGTCATAAAATAAACTTAGCAAAGACAAATAAATGAACAAAATTTCAAATCAAATTCAAATCTTTCAATTGAAACATCAAACAGAACTATCAAGAATGGAGGTTTATGATGTCGATTCCGATTATACATATATGGATAGTATTATACTCCAATCTAAAATTTATCAAATAAAAAAAAAACAATAAATACAGAACAACAAACAAAAAATGTAATATACCAATACTGTAAATGCGATAAATTTTACATTGGTGAAACATCTAGACCCTTAAATTTTCGAATTAAAGAACATAAAGATTATTTAAGAAAGGGAGATTTTCACAAATCTAAGATTTGTCAACATTCATGGGACACAGGGCACAGAATAAATTTTAATAACGCCGAAATTATAATGAAAGAAGCGATAGCCTCTAAAAGAAAAATAAAAGAGGCTTTTTTAATACAATCTAATAAAAATAAATGTATTGCTCATGCATCTGTAGATGTTAGTAATGTATGGCAATCGCTTTTTTGATTTTAACGAACATATCACAAATAAACATAACATACATAAAAATTAATAGTTCAGTAATATTATGGCTCAAATTGCGATATATCCGACAAAATTCATAAAGTTTAATAAACACACTCATCATATGTATTAATAAACTGAAAAGTTACCACCCCTAAATAGTGTGCGTCATCCCCCAGGGCATCGTTTCTACCCCCAATTTGAGTTTTTTTAGATAATATCGGCAACGGTGCAATTCTCGACAAAAATACCTATATAGAAAATTGTTCTTCATAAAATTCTCTATCAAAAAGATAATTACCCTTTTTTTCTAAAATTAATAATAAAGTGACAAATAGGGCGCAAATATAAGGGTTGGTTATGACTAGCACTATCTGCAGTTCAATCTAATTTAAAGTTTAATGTTTAACGCTAACAAAAAGCAGTAACCACTATATTATACTTGGAATTTTAATATACGTTCTTCTCCCACACTCCTCTACCCCTATAAAAAGGGTGATTTGTACTTATTTCCACATCATTCTAGAAGTAAAGTATTTGATGCGTTTTTTTTAAAGTGGTATCCCCTGTAGACCTAATCCAACTTGTTGGTAAAGCCAACAACATTGTCATGTTCAAAAAACTACCACCAACTTCTGCTGCAGCTCGGCAACACTCGTATCGGGTTTTTCACCAAATTCAAACATGGAAAGGAGTTATGCTCGAACCTACCGACTGGGGGTGGAAAAAAGTTGGCGGTATATTATCCCCGACAATGACAAACAAAAAGCCAGCCCCCGCATCTGTTTTAACGCTTATTTCATGTTCATGCAAATTAGGGTGCGAATACAGATGTAGCTGCAGAAGAACAGGCTTGCGTTGCTCTACAATGTATTATAATTGCCATGGACAGTCATGTTTGAATTTTGAACCTGTGGAAGATGACGAAGATTACTAGTTAACATTCGATAATTAGTGGATTAGGCCTACAGGGGATACCACTTAAAAAAACGCATCAAATACTTTACCTCTAGGGTGATTTGGAAATAAGTACAAATCACCCTTTTTATAGGGGTAGAGGAATGTGAGAGAACAACGTATATTAAAATTCTAAGTATAATTTAGTGGTTACTGCTTTTTGTTAGCGTTAAACATTAAACTTTAAATTAGATTGAACTGCAGATATTGCTAGTCACAACCAACAATATTTGCACCCTATTTGTCACTTTATTATTCACTTTAGAAAAAAAGTGTAATTATCTTTTTGATAGAGAATTTTATGAAGAACAATTTTCTATATAAGTATTTTTGTCGAGAATTGCACCGTTGCCGAGATTATCTAAAAAAACTTAAAATGGGGGTAGAAACGACGTCCTGGGGGATGACGCACACTATTTAGAGGTGGGAACTTTTCGGTTTAGGAATCCTCATGCTATCCCCAACATATCTACCAATTTTCAAAACTTTCTGAATTTTGTCGGGTTTAAATCGTAATATTACTGGATTATAAAAATAATCATACAGAAAGTTTGGGGCTTTTTGGTTTTACCTTATTAAGTAATTGTTATCAGGTAGTAATTGTTAATTTTGAAGTTTAACTTGACATAACGTCATTTTAACAAAACGTCAACGGTTTTTGTAGACGTATCTGTTTTAAAAAGCTACAGTGTTCTCGAATAGTTGAATTTAAATATTTTTAATAGTTTTTTTTTTCTTTATTCTTTGTATTTTTTTGCTTCCGACGACGGAAAGAGATAAACTTTCCCAAACGTTAAACATTTTTTTGTTCGTTAAGCAAATTTGTATTTCTTTAAACCTAACTTCTGACAAGTAGTTTCCGTTTGGGATTAACGCCAGAGGTGTTTACATAAAATAACTATTTTATTTTGTAGATTTTCTTGCAGTGGCGAAATACCCATATAGGATTTTTTGGAGAGATGAATCCGCCACATAGATATAGACATGTTCACACTGGGTTTATTTAAATAAATAAATGCTAATTTATATTATATAATTTTAATATACAGACGACGGACGTGAAACGACCTTGTGAGACTGTCTAATAAAATAATCTGGAGCAAATATTTTCTTATCGCTCGAAGTGAAATAAAAGAATTTGAACTTGACCAACGACCCACAAATTTTGACCACCCCTAAATAGTCTTTCTAAATTATTAAATATAAAAGTGTGCGATTTTGGTTCATTCGTCACTCTTGTAGTCGTTTCAGAAACAAACTAATCAATTTCTACAATGTACAAAGTAAGTAAAATAGGTAGATCTCTTTGTTTTATACAAGTACTTACATTTAAAATAATCATTTTACATATTGAGAGTCTTAAAGTATATTTCATTTTAGTTTTAAAATTAATAAGTAGGTATAAAAAATATAATATACATATAATTAGTCCATGTTTATAAAAATATTTATATTTTATTTACACATTTTCTATTTTTAATATTTCCATATTTTCCTCATTTCTTCCAGTTTTTCTACTATGAGACTGAAATGTCTGAAATCATTTTTGTTATAATGTAATATCCTTCCTATTTTATTTTTTTTAATTCTAGTTCTTAATCAACTTCAGTTCTTATTCTAATTCAGATTTAATGAATCATTTTGTGCTTAGAAAATGTTAGTCGTTGCGTTTAATCTTCAGAAAATAATAAGCATAAAAAGGAATTTAAAAAAAATACTATCAAAATTGTAAAAGAAAAAATGATAAATCTGAATAACTTATTAATAAATTTAATTTAATTTTGATAATACAAAAAATTGTTGTATTTTTAATACTTTCTATATGTTTTAACAAAATAATTCTTTAAATATATTTCAATTATTTATTCGTTTTTTTTTCGATCATACTGTATTAACTAATATAGATAACTATGCTAAATACTAAATATCCTTGAAGTTGAAAGATGTGACCAGTGTTATCTGTCATTTTATTTCACATATAAATTGTATTTCCGGTAATTTGTTGGATGTCGTATATCTAAATATTGCTTGACATGTTGGACAAACTTACTAATTTGTTTTTTGTTTCAGTTTTTTGTAGTCGCCACCCTTTTGGCTACTGTCAGTGCCATCCCAGCCGATTACCAAGCAACTTCTTACGTAACTTTCAATGACAACCACAATTCCGTCAGTCATATCGAATCTGCTGCTGCCCCTGTCTATTCTGCACCATCTCTAACTAAAGTAGCTGTTCCAGCTGCACCTGCAAAATACCCTGCTTATGCTGCTCCAGTTTACTCTACCGCTCCAGTCGCTTCAATTTATTCTGCTGCCCCTTCAGTTAGTAAAGTAGCTCTTCCCGTAGTTGCCAAAACTGCTGCCCCAGTAGCTAAATATGTTGCTGCTCCAGCCCACCACGAAGAAGAATATGAGATAATCCCATACAAATACGCCTATGCTGTGCAAGACTCACATACTGGTGACTACCACTCTCAAGAAGAAGTAAGTGATGGACACCATGTTTCTGGACAGTACTCTCTCCACGAAGCTGACGGTACCATCAGAATCGTAAAGTACTCTGATGATGGACAAGGTTTCAATGCAGTAGTAGAAAAACAAGGAGAGCCAACTGCTGCACCAGTTGTTTACAAGAAAGACGTAGCCTCTTACTATTAAATAATGAAATTTTAAAATGCTGTACATATAATTTGTGATCTATTTATTTATTTATAATAAAATTAGCATATACCAATATATAGTTCTTTTTTAAAATCTATAAGTATAAATATAACAAAGTCGGGTTAGTTATACCGTTTATTACTCAAGAATGGCTGGACCAATTTTAATGATCTTTGATTTGTTGGATTCGTTTCTGGCACAAATAGCAGAATCTTATTCTTCTTCTTCTTCCTTCTTCATACTAGGCGAATCGCCTGTTTGGTTTCGTCGTCTCTACCGGTTTGACTGACAAGTTGTCGCTCCATCGTTTTCGTGGACGTCCTAAGCTTCTGCGACCTAGCGGTGATTTATCGCGTGCAACTCTCACTATCCTTCTGTTGTCGTTCCATCGTTCCATTCTTCCTTTCTGCTGAGTACCCACTCATCTACATTTTCCACGTTGCATGCTCTTCTTATGCTTTCATTTCTCTCCCTATCCAGAAGCGTCTTTTCAGCTATTCTGCGTAGTACTCTCATTTTGGTTGTCTCTAGTAATTGTTTAGTTTTCTCTGTATCAGGTCGAGTTTCTGCAGCGTATGCCATTATTAGTCGTACCGTTGCTTTGTAAATTCTTGCTTTAGTTTACACCTCAATGTTTTTATTTTGCCATATTATGTCATTCAAGCATCCTGCTATTCTGGTTGCCTTCGTTGTCCGTTCTCGCACCTCCGCTTCTACATCACCATATATCCTGAGATTTCTATGCCTAGATACTTAAACTTCATTTCTTGCTGGATAACATTGCCCTCAACTTCCAGTTTGTATCTTAGTGATACTTATGATGTCGTTGTTCATTTAGTTTTCTTAATATCATATTAAGTGATTTTGCAGTGCAGTTAAAACGCTGTATGGATCGTCCTCATTTTCAGCTACCAATACGGCGTGCGTCGTCGGCATAGCACAGAACAGTAATTCCTGGTCGCCCATACTGTATCCCTTCAGTAAACGTACATTTCCTATTATTTCACCCATAATGATGTTGAAAAGAAGAGGGCTCAGGGAGTCAACTTGTCGGATACCACGGTCTACATTTATTGGCTCGCTCAGGACCCCGTTAATTTTGGCTTGAATTTGGTTCGCTTCATATATGTTTTCTATGGTTTTAACGAGGTTTTTTGGGATTTGCCTATTGTAAAAAAGGTGTACAACGTCTCTTAGCTGCACACGGTCAAATGCTTTTTCTAAATAAATAAAACACAAATACGCTGGTTTGTTATATTCGATTGATTTTTTTTGAGTAAATTAATTTCGAATATAAAACTCTGTCCTGGTGTACATAATTTGTGATCTATTAATTTATTTATAATAAAATAAGCAAAAACCAATATATTAATAATTCTTTTTTAAATCTATATTAGTTAGTAATAATCTAAGTTAGTTATACCATTTATATCTTTAGATATCAAAACCTATAAACATAATTTTAGATAATATGTCAACATAGGTAGTGGGTTAAATTTACAAGAAAGAAAATCCAGAAAAGATCCAGTGGTTCTCAAAATTTTAGCAAAAAATCAATTTTTCAAAGTAAAATAACTCGATTATTGTGTATTTATTTGGAAAAAAAAGAGAAAATATGTACCAGTCCTGAAAATATTTGCACTTATCTAAGACTACCCTGTATATACATTTAAAAGCCATTTAGGAATTACCCCAATAGATGTTACATAACATCGCAACTCAGAAAGAAAACCGACGCAATTGTTTTTTACGCAAAAAACTAAATTTTAAAATTAAAAATTGCCATTTTACCGTAAAATAGTTATATTTTCTTAATTCTAGCACACGTTACAATTTATAAATTATAATAAAAAAACTCGTCTCGGTCTCATACATTCATATTAAAACTATGAACTATGTAACATGGTTGGTAGTTAATAATTGCTCATAAATATGCTGTAGTCCATTGCAACTTGAGGGGTTTGATTCTATAAATGACATCTATTTGTACCTTGGTATTTTGTCGTATCCACTCTATTTTCTACTTTCCTTCTTTGTCTTTTCCAGCCTATTTCGTTCTATCAAGTATTGTGTGATCTGTAGTTTCTATGAAGTCATGACTGGCAGTACACACTGATTGAAAAAAAAAATCATATAATACATTATTTTAAGTATTTTTTTCAGTAGTGGGAAGCAGTTACAATTTTTTGTATACAGCTTATTGTTTTTCAGTTACAGCATTGAAACCGTCTCTATCATCGGAGTACTTTATCAGTATTGTCCAGAAACGTGATGTCCATCACTAAATTCTTCCTGGAGGTGGTAATCTCTAACATGGGGGTCATGTACAGCATAACCATATTTGTATGGTATGACCTCATACTGTGAGGTTTGTAAGACTTCTAGAAATAAATACCTTTTAGAATTTTGATAATCGGTGAGTGAGTCAGAGTCGAAAATAAAGAACTTTAACTAACATTAATTCAAAAACTGTAAGGTATACTTGTTATATACAGGGTGGTCCGAACTGTATTCCGAAAACTTCGGCGGCATATTCTGCAGATAAAGATATATAAAAAAGTTGGTATATAAATGTATGTCCGAAAATGCTTAGTTTCAAATATGCAGGGTGTAAAATTTTCACTTTTATTTCGATTTTTTCAAAATAATTTCTGAAGTAACGTCAATATTTGGATGAAAATTGGTGTCTGGGAGTTTTTTGACATGAGAAATTTGATTTTGATGTCAATATAACTCCCACTTGTAGAGGGCGCCAACTACATATTTTTTAACTGGTTTAAAAACTAACAACTTTTCGTTCGTACCTGTATAAAACTACTAAGGAAAAAAATATACATTTACGACATTTTCTACGTAAAAAAAGTCTCTTGGTAAAAATCGCTACGAGGAATAGTTCTCGAGATATTTGGAATCGAAATTATCAATATCTGTCATCGTTGACACAACTTAAACATGTTGACTAAATAGTTATTAGACTGAAATCATAAATTTGAAATGATTTTGTACCAAAAGTTCAACAGAAGCTGTTTTATCATCATTTTTTCGAAGAAAAATTTATGATTAATTTAAAAAAATAAAAAGTTGCCAAATTTATAATTTCAGTCAAATAACTATCTACTCAACGTGTTTATTTTTTGTCAATAATGACATGTGTTGATTATTTTCATTCTAAATATCTTGACAACGGTTGCTCGTAGCGATTTTTACCAACCGGTGCTACCCTCAATAGTTTTATACAGGTACGGATGAAAAGTTATTAGGTACTCTTCAAAACGATTAAAACATATATGTAGGTGGCGCCCCCTACAAATAGGAGTCAGATTGACATCAAAATCAAATTTATCATGTTCATCCAAATATTGACGTTACTTCAGAAATTATTGGGAAAAAATCCAAATAAAAATGAAAATTATACCCTGTATTTCCGAAACTAAGCAATTTAAAACATACATTTTATACGAACTTTTTTACTTATTTTTATCTGCACAATATGCTGCCAAAGTTTCCGGAATACAGTTCGGACCACCCTGTATATTGACCATATAGCCAGTTATAGTGTGTTCTCTTGGTCACTAAATATTATTTAGATTCTTGCTTTATCCGCAACGAAGCTACAGAAGGGTCAAAAATTCAGTGAATCGCTTCGATAAAAGAATTATAATAAATTATTCTAAATAATTCTATTACAAAAACATTGATATATTGATTTTTTTAATTTATTGCAAATAAATAAATAAGTTACAAAAACTACAAACACATCATTAAGTCTTCTTTCAGTAGTGAGGAGCAGCTACAGCAACAACTTTCTTGTAAACAGCTGGTGTAGAAGTTGGTTCTCCTTGTTTTTCTACTACAGCATTGAAACCGTGTCCGTCATCAGAGTATTTTACGATCCTGATGGTACCGTCAGCTTCGTGGAGCGAGTACTGTCCAGAAACATGGTGTCCATCACTAACTTCTTCTTGGGAGTGGTAGTCACCAGTGTGGGCATCTTGTACAGCGTAGGCGTATTTGTATGGGATTACCTCATATTGTTCTTCATGATAAGCTGGAGCAGCAACATATTTAGCTACTGGAGCAACTACAGGAAGAGCTACTTTGTTGACAGATGGAGAAACGGAATAAGCTGGAGCGGTCAAGTAAACTGGAGCAGCAGGTGCGGAGTATTTGGTGACTACAGGCGCAGCTGGAGCAGCTACTTTAGCTACTACTGGTACAGTTACTTTAGTAAGGGCGGGATATACTGGAGACGCACCAGATTGGCTGTGACTGATCGAATTCTGATTATCATTGAATGTGACGTAAGAAGTGGCTTGGTAGTCGGCTGGTATGGCACTGACAGTAGCCAGGAGGGTAGCGACAGCGAAAAACTGAAACAAAAATGTTATAATTACAAATTATTCAAAATCTATTCATTTCAACTGTGGTTTTATATTCATAATCACCTTCTATTTAAATCAATATCGAGTATACTTACTTTGTACATAGTTGTATTGATATTTTTATAACTGAAACGACTACAAGGAGTGACGATGAAATCAAAATCGCACACTTATATATTTTAAAATTTAGAAAGAACATTTAGGGGTGGACAAATTTTCTAGGTCGTGGGTCAAGTTCAAATTCTTTTATTTGACTTCAAGCTATAACATAATATGTGCTCCAGATTAATTTATTAGAGAGTTTTAGACAAGTGGCAAGGTCGCATTCATGTCTTTAGTACCCGGTGGCCAACTAAGAATCGACGCCGGCTATCTATAATCGACTTATCGTATAATTTTGGGGAAAAAAATTTATTAATGACTTTAGTACCTACATACAGGGTGGCGATGGCGCCTCTCATACGCCGCGGAAACTTCAAGGAGAACGGTAGTTTATATCGAAACTAACTTTTGGCAGCATATGTAAGTTAATTCAGAGCACTTTTTAAAAAAAGTGCTCCAAAAAAAGTTACACATCAAAGTTGTATTTTTTCTAATGGAGCACCCTATATATTAATTGAATTTTGGATTCTAGGAAGGTGAGGTTTATTAAAGAAGCATATACCTAAAATCTAAGGATTTTGACATATTTCTCATTTTGTGAAAATGAAGATTAAATTTTAAATTTCGATAACAACTACCTAAATTTTAGTTGACCTTGTATAGCCTGATATTTAATAACAGTAACCATTGTATGTTAAACCAAATTGAAATTTGACCCGAAAAGTTATACAGGGTGTGAGACAAAATTAATATGGAACATTAGTCACTTTTAAAAGCAAGTTACTCCTTTATTTTAAATGGAACACCCAGTATATTTTTTCGGTGTTCAATGGGAAATTTATATATCTTCAAAATATTATTAAGGTTGCCTACTCCTCAGACAAAGACTTTTCAAGATATTTTAATTTTTATGATTTTGCGTCATTAGATCTTAATTATTTGAAAAAATCTAGGTGGGTGTGTGATATACCTTTTGTTAATTTAACAAAAATTAAAGACAGTAGTAAGATACTCAACGGTAATAAAAAAATACACGTTTAAAACATATTTTAATTATTACAGAATTAAAACTAGATATAAACCTATAATTTTACAGAACAAAAATTAGCTAGATGAAATCAAATGCTCAAAATGCTTCTTTTCCTGTTAACTGCATAAAATGATTTTCTTTTCAAAAGGATATTTTCATTTTAAAAAGCATATGTGGAGTTCTACCTCGAAAAGCAGCTACAATAATTTCTTTCATGTTGTCGAGAATATTTGGTCGAGTTTTGTAAACACTGTCTTTAACATATTCCCATAAAAAAATCCAGACTACATAAAATCAGGAGCATTTAATCATTCTATTAATTGGTAAATGCACACTGCATTCACCAACTAATAGAATCATATCAATTCTCTCTGATATAGGATAAGTTTGCATTTTCGGCAAATTTCTGAGAAATTTTATTGTGTTTTAACTGACACAAAATGATAACTAGTTGTTAAAGTTGGACTAATTAGACAGCTATGTTAAAGTAACGTCAGACATATCACAGCCACCTAGATTTTATCAAATAATAAAGATCTACTCAGATCAAATCATGTAATTCACTTACATGATTTGAAATATCTAGGAAAATCTTTGTTTGAGGGGTAGGCAACGTTAATAGTATTTTGAAGAGATATGAATTCTCCATTGAATATCGGAATAATATACTGGGTGTTCCTCTTAAAATAAAAGAGGAAGTTGCTTTTAAAGGTGACCAATGTTCAATATTAATTTTGTCTCACCCTGTATAACTTTTTGGATCAAGTTTTAATTTGATTTAAAGTACAATAGTTAATTTAACTACGTATTAGGCTATACCGGATAAATTCCATTTTAGGTAGCTTTTATTGTAATTTAAAAATTATTCTTGGTTTCTAGAAAATGTTAAATATGTCAAAAACTTTACATTTTAGTCATATACTTCTCTTATAAAACTCACCTTTATTTTTCTCCCACAGTCTGAAAGTCAATTAATATATAGGATGTTCCATTACAAAAATCACAACTTTGATATGTAACTTTTTTTGGAAACACCATGTAGAACTCTCTATATTTTTAAAATGTGCTCTGAATTAACCTACATATGCTCACAAAATTTCATTTCAAAACAAACTGTCGTTCTCCTTGGAGCCTCCGCGGGGTATGAGAGGCTCCACCCTGTATTTAAAATAACCATTGTACTTTAAATCAAATTAAAAGATGGCTCTAAAAGTAATACAGTATGAGGTAAAATTAATATTGAACATAGGTCACTTTTAGAAGCACTTACTCTTACACAAGTTACTCTTATATTTTAAATGGAACACCCAGTATATTATTCCGATATTCAATGAGAAATTCATGTTTCTTCATACTGTTAAGGTTACCTACCTGTCAAACAAAGATTTTCCTAGATACGTTAATTTTTGTGATTTAGTAGCAGTAGATCTTTATTATTTGATAAAATCTAGATGGCTGTGATATGCTAACAATAATTCTTTTGTTAAATTTTGAGAACCACTGAATCCTTTCCGGGTGTTCTTCCTTTTTAATTTAATATACTGCCTATGTTGCCATATTATCCAGAAATAATGTTTTTTAACTAAAAACTAAAAAAAATTCCAACATTTCAAAAAATTTCAAATTTGTTTTTGCAAAAAAATATGCCTTTTCATAAAAATCAAAACGCGTTTCTATGGTAATATAATTTCGTTTCCAATCTTTAATCGATTGTTATTCATAGAATTTTAATTAACATAATATTTTTTGCTGTTTTAAAATGTAACTTAGAAGCACACCATTTATTTAGTTCAATGCTACGAAAAGGGTGATTGTGGTACTTTAATAACAGCAAAGAATATAACGTTAATCAAAATTAATCATAACCTAGCAATATATTATGAGAATATATTGCTAGTAAGCATTTTGGCTTCAATTTCTATTCCTGACTAGCGATATAGTGTAATAATAACGATAATAACCATAAATGTAATTATTTGATAATAACCATCTATCAAAAAATGAAATCGAAATAATATTACCATAAAAATGTCTTTTGATTTTTAGGACTTTTGGAAACCATAGGACTTTTAACTTTTTAGGACCACCATATTTTTATGTTTTTTTTTTATTTTCTCTAAAACTGTATGGAAAAAGTATAAACGGGATTAACCATTTTAGAACAAGCAAATTTTTTTATGAAAAATACATTTTTCTTAAAATGTCAATAATAAAAAAGTATTTTTTCTCTTGTAAAGATAATTGGGGGACATTGTATAAGAATTAATAAAGTAGGCATGTATGAATGAAATGTGCGATATGGTGATACAGCTTTAGGTAAAATGCATACCATTAAGATAGAGTAAAATTTGGGCGTTGGCCTTAGGTGAATGGAAACCATAGCCGGGAGTCAAAATTTTGGCTCGAATATAAAAGTGGTCGCGATTTTTTTTTAATCACTGTTCAAGTCGATTTTGTATCATTCACATCAAATACACAATGTACAAAGTGAGTAACTTATTTTTTAGTCTTAGTTTTAATATAATATTAAGTGATTTTTTTTATCATAAAACCGTTGATTAAACAAATAAGATACTTCTTTATCAGATATTTCAATTTTTTCGTTGATAATTTATTTTTTCAAGGTAAGTCCAGATAAATTAATATGTACCTAGTAATAATTGTTTACTAAATGAATTATTTTATATTATTATTCAATTTATTTTTTAATAATTATGTAATTTAGAATTTGTAGTAAATAAAAATATTTTTAAAATATAATAGGATAAATTAGAACGGGCTTGCTTATAATACACACGTAAAATATATTGAGACAAATTTTGCCTTTATAAACTAATCATAAGTTAATTAATCAACTTTTAATTTAGGTATGATTATTTTACCAGAACTTTAAAAGCTTTTGATATAAATACATCCTTACATCCAAATGTTCGTCGTTGCGATTTTATTTAATCCAAACCCATTCCTAATTATTTGACAGCTAATATCAGTACAAAAGTTTAAATAGAACAATGAGTTTGAAAGAAAGTGCTGACCAGTTCAGAAAGTTTTACAATCAAAAACAGATAAAAGTTAAAAAGAATCAGTCTCTTAGTTTTATTTATAATATACATGATACTTTTCAGATCTTTGCTGTAGCTGCTCTCTTGGCTGTTGTCAGTGCCGCTGACCACCAAGCCACTTCATTCGTCAAATTCAACGACAACCACAACGCCGTCCACCACATCCAATCAGCTCCAGCTTACAGTGCTCCCTCATACCACGCCCCAGCTGCCCCTGCCTATGCTGCTCCAGCCGTAGCCAAAGAAGCCGTACCAGCCGTAGCCAAATATGCTGTACCTGTAGCTGCCAAATACGCCGCTCCAGCTGCACCAGCTTACTACTCCGCTCCAGCTTATCCAGCCTATTCTTCTGCTCCTTCCTACTCTTACTCCTCTGCTCCCGCTGTAGCCAAAGTAGCTCTCCCTGCTATCGCTAAAGTAGCTGCTCCAGCTTACAAAGCCTACAAAGAAGAAGAATATGCACCAATCCCATACCAATACGCCTACGCCGTACAAGACCCACACACTGGTGACTACCACTCTCAAGAAGAGACTAGCGATGGACACCACGTGTCTGGACAATACTCTCTCCACGAAGCTGACGGTACCATCAGAATTGTGAAATACTCTGATGATGGACACGGTTTCAATGCTGTCGTAGAAAAACAGGGTGAACCTACTCCAGCTCCAGCCGCGTACAAGAAAATTGTAGCTGCTCCTCATTATTAAGCCAAACAAAATGATCTGTATATAGTTTAGGTGTTAAATTATTTATTTATTAATAAAGAGCATAATTCGATATTCTTAGTGTATGATTGTACTTTTGATTTTTATTTATTTTCATCTGGTTTTCAAAATAGTTTCACATATTTATCAGAGGATTCCAAGTTTTCAATTCCACCCCAAATATAATAAAATAAGTTCTATAATGTATAGTCTGTACAGGGTTTCCCATTTGGTAGAAATTATATATGGTATCTCCGTTATTAGTGAAGATAGGAGCATGCAGTTTGCACAAACCTATCGTACTTTTTGGTCAAACGGAAGATGCTTTAAACCAAATGTTCATATGCTTCTTTGTTTCTGAGCTACAGGGTCTCTTTAAAAATTTTGCAATTTGGGACATCCCCGTATCTTGGTATTGTCGAGATCGATCAGAGTGTATATATACAGAGTATCGTATCGAGAAGGTGAAAATGGTTTCTTAAAGAACTTTTTACGTAGAATACAGTGGGGAAGTCTGTTTTTCTACAAAAAATGAAAATAATAATCCAAATCTCTAAAAAAATATTTAAAAAATTTATTTTTGGAGATATTAACTATTAGTTTTCTCAAATGGAACACCCTGTATATTTATATACTATATGATTCAGCTTACTATGATCTTAAATAAGTCTCTCTCTAAAATATATAAGTATATATTTTCACGATTTAGTCCAAAATTTAAAAGTTTTCATTAAAAGGTAATTTTTTATTATTATTTATTAGTAGCCCATGATAAGATGACAATATAAATCAAAATGGTATTTAACGAAAATAATATTCATACAAATATTAAAATTTTATTTAGAGTTGTGAGCCCCATATTGCTGAAAGTATATTTCACGTAAATTAGCTAAAGGAATATCTTCTAAAATTTCTGATATTGTACGAAATCCGAGAATTGCAGCATAGCTTCCAATATTTACAAGTTGCAGTAGGCTGTTAAGTTTCCCTCATATATAGAGGATTTAATAATGCTTCCTAGAAAAAAAAACAAGAGACAGATAGATATTTTATAATTCTTTGGTTTCTTTTATTATCCATAACGACCTACTAATAAAAATGATCTTTTAAATGTTGCATTAAATCTATATTAATCTATACTAATATATAAAATCCTTAAAAGACTGACATACTGATTAATCACAATCCTGCTCAAACCACTCAACGTAAGAAGCTCAATTTTGGCATACAGGTTGATTCTAGGGTGTAGAAGTTCGATAAGAAGGGATTGTTTGAAATTCCAGTTCCAAGAGGGTGACCCCTCAAATATTACAATATTTTTTATTTAAAAAACGGTCAAGTTTCCGAAAAAACGCTTAAACACGTATATTTTATTTTGTTTTTTTACATATTTTAAAATTTTTTAAAAATGTATACAGGGTGTTTCGAAAAATCTGGTCATTGATTAATCACGATCCTGCTTAAAGCGCTTTACGTAAAAAGCTGATTTTTGGAAAACAGATTGACTTTAGGGTGTAGAGGTTTGATAAGAAGGGATTTTTCGAAACTAGAATTCTAAGGGGGTGAAACTATCCCTCAAATATTAAAATATTTTTGATTTAAAAACCGATGAGTTTTTCGGAAAAACTCTTAAACACGTATATTTTGTTTTGTTGTTTTACATATTTTAAGATTTTTTAAAAATTTATACAGGGTGTTATATGACGATTGAGTACCTAATCACGATTCTGCTTAAACTGCTTGACGTTTAAAACTGATTTTTGGCAAACGGATTGACTGTGGAGTGTAGAGGTTCGATAAGGAGGGGTTTCTCGAATTTCAAATTTCAAGAGGGTGAAAACGCCCATCAAATATTACAATATTTGTTATTTAAAAAACGGTTAGTCTTTCGGGAAAACGCTTGGACACGCATAATTTATTTTGTTTTTTTACATATTTGGAAATGTTTTAAAAAATCATTCTGCACCACGATTCTGCTTAAACTGCTTGACGTAAAAAGCTTATTTTTGGCAAACGGATTTTTCGAAAGTCGAAGTCCAACGAGATGAAACTGCCGATCAGAGTGTCGACCAACTTGTTTTTTCTCATGCTGACATAAATGTGAGAAAATTTTATCCAGTTTATATGTTAATGGAAATTGTTGCTTTGCTTTATCATCATCATTACAAATGATTAATTCGACGCGAACGAAGTCGCGGGTACACGCTATTAGTGATAATAAATACAGAAAGTGATATTGTATTTTTGAGAAGCTTATATTATATTTTGAGACGCCGGATCATATGATTTATAAATATACAGGGTGTTCTATTTGAGAAAACATATAGCTTTAGTTCATATCTCCAAAAATATTTTTTTGTAGAAAAACAGACTCACCCGCTGTATTCTACGTATAAAGTTTTATAAGAAACAATTTTCACCTTCTCGATACCTTTACAATAACAGAGATACGGGGAGTGACCCATAACAGCTCGGAAACAAAGATGGCTAAGAAAATTTGGTTTACAGCATCTTCCGTTTGACAAAAAAGTACGATAGGTTTGCATAAACCGCATATCTTCACTAATAACGGAGATACCATATGATTTCAACCAAAATGGTGCACCCTGTGCAGACTATACATTAGAACTTATTTTATTATATTTGGGGGGGGGGGGGCACTGAAAACTTCGAATCCTCTGATAAATATCTCAAACTATTTTGAAAACCAAATGAAAATTAGTATAGAACTTAAGGTACCTGTACAATAATACACTAATAATATCGAATCATGCTCTTTATTATAAATAAATAAATAAGTTAACACCTAAACTATATACAGATTATTTTGTTTGACTTAATAATGGGGAGCAGCTACAATTTTCTTGTAGGCGGCTGGAGCTGGAGTAGGTTCACCTTGTTTTTCTACAACAGCGTTGAAACCGTGTCCATCATCAGAGTATTTCACAATTCTGATAGTACCGTCAGCTTCGTGGAGAGAATATTGTCCAGACACGTGGTGTCCATCGCTAGTCTCTTCTTGAGAGTGGTAGTCACCAGTGTGTGGGTCTTGTACGGCATAGGCGTATTGGTATGGGATTGGTGCATATTCTTCTTCTTTGTAGGCTTTGTAAGCTGGAGCAGCTACTTTAGCGATAACAGGAAAAGGTACTTTGGCTACAGCAGGAGCAGAGGAGTAAGAGTAAGAAGGAGCAGAGGAATAGGCTGGATAAGCTGGAGCGGAGTAGTAAGCTGGTGCGGCTGGAGCGGCGTATTTGGCAGCTACAGGTACAGCATATTTAGCTACGGCTGGTACGGCTACTTTGGCTACAGCTGGAGCTGTATAGGCAGGGGCAGCTGGGGCGTGGTATGAGGGAGCGCTGTAAGATGGAGCTGATTGTATGTGGTGGACGGCGTTGTGGTTGTCGTTGAATTTGACGAATGAAGTGGCTTGGTGGTCAGCGGCACTGACAACGGCCAAAACGGCAGCTACAGCAAAGATCTGAAAAGTATCATGTATATTATAAATAAAACTAAGGGACAGATTCTTTTTAAATTTTATTTGTTTTTCACTGTAAAACTTTCTGAACTGGTTACCATTTTCTTTCAAGCACATTGTTCTATTTAACTTTATCTAATTTTAAATATTTGTCATGCAATAAAGAATATGTCTGACTTAAGTCAAAACGCAAGGAAGGATATTTTGCAGTAAAAAATAACATTATATGCTATTAAATTTCGGCTAAAATTATATCTAAGTTAATAGCTGATTAATGAAATTAGGTTTGACTTACAAACGCAAAAAATATCTTACATTTTAGTAAACTAAGCTTTTTTCTTTATTATAAATTTTAAGTAAATTACTAAACTACATAAATTAACAATTATTGGTATTTAATATGCATCTGTCTGGAATTAACTTGAAAAAATAAAATATTAAAGAAAAAACTGAAAAATCAAATAACGTGGTATCAATTAATAAAATTAGCAACTAATAGAATATTTGTAAATTGATATAAAGATTGTAAAACTTTCTGAACTGGTTAGCAGTTTCTTTCAAACTCATTGTTCTATTTAAACTTTTGTACTGATTTTAGCTGTCAAATAATTAGGAATGGGTTTGGATTAAATAAAATCGCAACGACGAACATTTGGATGTAAGGATGTAATTATATCAAAAGTTTTTAAAGTTCTGGTAAAATAATCATACCTAAATTAAAAGTTGATTAATTAACTTATGATTAGTTTATAAAGGCAAAATTTGTCTCAATATATTTTACGTGTGTATTATAAGCAAGCCCGTTCTAATTTATCCTATTATATTTTAAAAATATTTTTATTTATTACAAATTCTAAATTACATAATTATTAAAAAATAAATTGAATAATAATATAAAATAATTCCTTTAGTAAACAATTATTACTAGGTACATATTAATTTATCCGGACTTAGCTTGAAAAAATAAATTATCAACGAAAAAATTGAAATATCTGATAAAGAAGTATCTTATTTCTTTAATCAACGGTTTTATGATAAAAAAAATCACTTAATATTATATTAAAACTAAGACTAAAAAATAAGTTACTCACTTTGTACATTGTGTATTTGATGTGATTAATACAAAATCGACTTGAACAGTGAATAAAAAAAAATCGCGTCCACTTTTATATCCGAGGCAAAATTTTGACTCCCAGCTATGGTTTCCATTCACCTAAGGCCAACGCCCAAATTTAACTCTATCTCTTAATAGTATGCATTTTACCTAAAGCTGTATCACCATACCGCACATTTCATTCATACAAGGATGAGTTTTTCGGAAAAACTCTTAAACACGTATATTTTATTTTGTTGTTTTACATATTTTAAGATTTTTTAAAAATTTATACAGGGTGTTATATGACGATTGAGTACCTAATCACGATTCTGCTTAAACTGCTTGACGTTTAAAACTGATTTTTGGCAAACGGATTGACTGTGGGGTGTAGAGGTTCGATAAGGAGGGGTTTCTCGAATTTCAAATTTCAAGAGGGTGAAAACGCCCATCAAATATTACTATATTTGTTATTTAAAAAACGGTTAGTCTTTCGGGAAAACGCTTGGACACGCATAATTTATTTTGTTTTTTTACATATTTGGAAATTTTTTAAAAAAAATCATTCTGCACCACGATTCTGCTTAAACTGCTTGACGTAAAAAGCTTATTTTTGGCAAACGGATTTTTCGAAAGTCGAAGTCCAACGAGATGAAACTGCCGATCAGAGTGTCGACCAACTTGTTTTTTCTCATGCTGACATAAATGTGAGAAAATGTTATCCAGTTTATATGTTAATGGAAATTCTTGCTTTGCTTTATCATCATCATTACAAATGATTAATTCGACGCGAACGAAGTCGCGGGTACACTCTATTAGTGATAATAAATACAGAAAGTTATATTGTATTTTTGAGAAGCTTATATTATATTTTGAGACGCCGGATCATATGATTTATTAATATACAGGGTGTTCTATTTGAGAAAACATATAGCTTTAGTTCATATCTCCAAAAATATTTTTTTGTAGAAAAACAGACTTACCCGCTGTATTCTACGTATAAAGTTTTATAAGAAACAATTTTCACCTTCTCGATACCTTTCACAATAACGGAGATACGGGGAGTGACCCATAACAGCTCGGAAACAACGATGGCTAAGAAAATTTGGTTTACAGCATCTTCGGTTTGACAAAAAAGTACAATAGGTTTGCATAAACCGCATATCTTCACTAATAACGGAGATACCATATGATTTCAACCAAAATGGGGCACCCTGTGCAGACTATACATTAGAACTTATTTTATTATATTTGGGGGGGGGGCATTGAAAACTTCGAATCCTCTGATAAATATCTCAAACTATTTTGAAAACCAAATGAAAATTAGTATAGAATTAAAGGTACCTGTACAATAATACACTAATAATATCGAATCGTGCTCTTTATTATAAATAAATAAATAAGTTAACACCTAAACTATATACAGATTATTTTGTTTGACTTAATAATGGGGAGCAGCTACAATTTTCTTGTAGGCGGCTGGAGCTGGAGTAGGTTCACCTTGTTTTTCTACAACAGCGTTGAAACCGTGTCCATCATCAGAGTATTTCACAATTCTGATAGTACCGTCAGCTTCGTGGAGAGAATATTGTCCAGACACGTGGTGTCCATCGCTAGTCTCTTCTTGAGAGTGGTAGTCACCAGTGTGTGGGTCTTGTACGGCGTAGGCGTATTGGTATGGGATTGGTGCATATTCTTCTTCTTTGTAGGCTTTGTAAGCTGGAGCAGCTACTTTAGCGATAACAGGAAAAGGTACTTTGGCTACAGCAGGAGCAGAGGAGTAAGAGTAAGAAGGAGCAGAAGAATAAGCTGGATAAGTTGGAGAGGAGTAGTAAGTTGGTGCGGCTGGAGCGGCGTATTTGGCAGCTACAGGTACAGCATATTTAGCTACGGCTGGTACGGCTACTTTGGCTACAGCTGGAGCAGTATAGGCAGGGGCAGCTTGGGCGTGGTATGAGGGAGCGCTGTAAGATGGAGCTGATTGGATGTGGTGGACGGCGTTGTGGTTGTCGTTGAATTTGACGAATGAAGTGGCTTGGTGGTCAGCGGCACTGACAACGGCCAAAACGGCAGCTACAGCAAAGATCTGAAAAGTATCATATATATTATAAATAAGACTAAGGGACAGATTCTTTTTAAATTTTATTTGTTTTTCATTGTAAAACTTTCTGAACTGGTTACCACTTTCTTTCAAGCACATTGTTCTATTTAACTTTATCTAATTTTATATATTTGTCATGCAATAAAGAATATGTCTGACTTAAGTCAAAACGCAAGGAAGGATATTTTGCAGTAAAAAATAACATTATATGCTATTAAATTTCGGCTAAAATTATATCTAAGTTAATAGCTGATTAATTAAATTAGGTTTGACTTACAAACGCAAAAAATATCTTACATTGTAGTAAACTAAGCTTTTTTCTTTATTATAAATTTTAAGTAAATTACTAAACTACATAAATTAACAATTATTGGTATATAATATGCATCTGTCTGGAATTAACTTGAAAAAATAAAATATTAAAGAAAAAACTGAAAAATCAAATAACGTAGTATCAATTAATAAAATTAGCAACTAATAGAATATTAAAATTAAGACTAAAAATAAGTTACTCACTTTGTACATTGTGTATTTGATGTGATTAATACAAAATCGACTTGAACAGTGAATAAAAAAAAATCGCGTCCACTTTTATATCCGAGGCAAAATTTTGACTCCCAGCTATGGTTTCCATTCACCTAAGGCCAACGCCCAAATTTAACTCTATCTCTTAATAGTATGCATTTTACCTAAAGCTGTATCACCATACCGCACATTTCATTCATACAAGGTGACTCAATTTCATTAATCTTATACAGAGAAAGCATGTATGTAATGTATATAATATATTTTCTCTCGTTATCTATACTAATATTACTAATCTATAAAATCCTTAAATGACTGACATACTGATTAATCACGATCCTGCTCAAACCACTCAACGTAAGAAGCTCAATTTTGGCATACAGGTTGATTCTAAGGTGTAGAGGTTCGATAAGAAGGGATTTTTCGAAATTCCAGTTCCAAGGGGGTAAAACCACCCCTCAAAAGTTTCCGAAAAAACGCTTAAACACGTATATTTTATATTGTTTTTTACATATTTTAAGATTTTTTAAAAATGTATACAGGGTGTTTCGAAAAATCTGGTCATTGATTAATCACGATCCTGCTTAAAGCGCTTGACGTAAAAAGCTAATTTTTGGAAAACAGATTGGCTTTAAGGTGTAGAGGTTCGATAAGAAGGGATTTTTCGAAACTCGAATTCTAAGGGGGTGAAACTATCCCTCAAATATTAAAATATTTTTTATTTAAAAAGAGTTTTTCGGAAAAACTCTTAAACACGTATATTTTATTTTATTGTTTTACATATTTTTTTCATAAAATATGACTATTGAGTAATCACGATTCTGCTTAAACTGCTTGACGTTTAAAGCTGATTTCTGGCAAACGGATTGACTGTGGGGTGTAGAGGTTCGATAAGGAGGGGTTTCTCGAATCTCAAATTCCGAGAGGATGAAAGCGCCCCTCAAATATTACAATATTTTTTATTTAAAAAACGGTTAGTCTTTCGGGAAAACGCTTGGACAAGCATAATTTATTTGGTTTTTTTACATATTTTGAAATTTTTAAAAAAATCATACAGGGTGTTCCAAAAAGATGGGTAATTTCTTAACCACGATTCTGCTTAAACTGCTTGACGTAAAAAAAAAGTTATATAATAATATCGTTATATTGTTTTTTCTCATGCTGACATAAATGTGAGAAAATGTTATCCAGTTTGTATGTTAATGGAAATTCTTGCTTTGCTTTATCATCACCATTACAAATGATTAATTCGACGCGAACGAAGTCGCTGGTACACGCTGGTAGTTAATAAAGTTCATTAATTAAGTTTTCTAATTTTCTCTTTTTCGTTTTAAACCAAAAACTCGTAATACAAAAATAAAGTGTCAAAACGGATGACAATGTCAGGAAATAAATAAATTAATGTAGCAACTTAACATTTTTTACGGCAGAGCTACCACCTGACTTTGACCACTGTTTTTTTGCTCTTAGATTTCTGTAAAATTAGGAATAATGGAGTTAGCAGTTTATCACATTTCACCGACGATATAATAAATAATATGTGATTTTACACAAGATTCTGTGATTTTACATAATTATATTATGTAATGGTATTGCCTATTCTAGGAATACTCATAGGCATCAGCAATGTTTACAGATTATTCTGTAACTGGATAATCTGGGAATTGTCCACACACTTTTACTTATTAGTAATGTAAAATTAGAACTAGTTATGTAAAATAATACATTAAAATGTGAAATTTTACACAAAATGTTACATAAAATTATGGAAAATATTACCAATTAAGGGTGGCTGTGACTGCAACGACCTCCCGTAATCCTGCTGTTAAAACAAAACAATTGGTTTTTATATAAAAAAAACAGCTGCTATGGTTTAACAGCAGGATTACGGGACGTCGCGTCGTTGCAGCCACCCTTATATGTCATTTATTTCATAATTTTACGTAACATACTCCATATTTTTAATTAATTAATTAATACTAGTTAAGAAGTTTGCGAAAATTTACACAGAAAATTGAAAATTTTTACTAAGCTATGTAAAATTACCACGATTATACAACTCTATCACTTATTAATCACATTAGTGATTAATAAGTGATAATCATTTCAGTGATTATCACTTGGTGGCCATATTGTAATTGTCATTTTTCGAAATATTAATTCAGAAGTCATTTCTGTCAGTTCCACAAAATATATATAAATATTTTCTAAAAAAAAATAATAAAAATGTTTAAGATAAGAAGGATATATGTACTTTACTAGCGTGTACCAGCGACTTCGTTCGCGTTGAATTAAACATTTGTAATGTTGATGATAAAGCAAAGCGAGAATTTCCATTAACATACAAACTGGATAAAATTTTCTCACATTTATGTCAGCATGAGAAAAAACAATATGGCGATATTATTATATAACTTGGTAATATTTGAGGAGT